CCCCCCAGGCCCCACTCACCTATGTGCTTGCCTTCCTTTCCACAGGTGAACATAGACCATGAGACCAGGGAGCTGACCAGGATGAACCTGCAGGCTGCCACGGCCACATGCTTCGATGTGGCTCAGGGTAAGACACGCACCCTGATGGAGAAGGACTCCTACCCGCGCTTCCTGAAGTCACCCGCTTACCAGGACCTGGCTGCCCAAGCCTCGTCCACCACCGCCTCTCCGTCCAGCTGCAGCCCGGCAGAGCCCGTGCACACCTGAGCTCATGGCAGTGAGGAGCCAGCCGGGAAGGGAGGTTGAGTCACCCAGCCCTGAGGCAGCTGCCCCTGTGTGGGAGGCAGGTTCTGCAGAGCAAACAAGAGGACAGTGAAGGAAAAAGCTGTTTTTGTTTTGGAAGCAACAGCCTCTCCTCCAGATCCTGTGGGACTAAACTTCATGCATGAGAGGGTCGCCCCACTCCCAGGACTCGTGGATGGGGGCTGAAGTTCACTGTTGTGCGGCACTCTCTGGGCAAAAGCATGGTGGTGCAAGAGTTATCGTTAGCTCTTGACAGCTCTCAACAGCGCAAGAAAAAGTCCAGGGTGGTTTAGGAAATGTAAATAAAGGGAAACTCAAAAATGAGAGGGAAGACAGCCAGATCAGCTGCTTTGCCTGTTGAACAGCTGGCTGATCACATCCTGTTTTCCTCTTTCCCAGACTGTGCTGGGCACAGGAGGGAGCCCTGGATGTGGACCCCTCCTATTCCGTCCACCTCACCTGCCTTTGGGCTGCTTGAGGGCCCCTTAGCTTGTACTTTTTAACACTCCTGTGTCCAGCCTCAGTCTTTTCAAGGCTAGGGAGCCAATGTGATACATGCCCCAAGTGAGATTTTTATACCTCAAAAACTGGCTTTTCAGTCCCTTTCCAAGTCAGCAGAGAGCCCTGAAAAGAAGCCGTCTCGCTTATGTGAAGTCAATCTTGGTGCTCTTGGTGACCTTGTATGTGGCCCCCGACCTTGTGTTTGCAACAGGGTCCACCTGTGAGCAGGGCCTGATGAGGGCCTCTTGCTGGGATATGCCATCTCAGCTCGGTTCCACCCTTGAGCGTGGGGCCCCCGAGGAGAAAGGTGTGGGACCTCTCGGTGAGTAGCTGGTCAGCTCTCATGCCCAGCAGTGTGCAGAGAGGGAGAAAGCGATCATAAGAAATAAATCTCTTGACAGTTCCTGAAAGTCCTACTTAAATCAAGCCAATATTTTTTTTTTCTGTGAGTATGAGAATGGGGAAAAGAAGCACCCCAGGGTGGAAGGGGAGCCTCATGTTTCCTTCCCGTGGGTGCGAGGTGCACTAATGAATGTTGGGGGAGATGGGGCAGGGACCACGATGATCCTTGGGCAGACCCAGAAGATGGGAGTGGACTTGGGGAGAGAAGCTGCTTGGAAGAGCAGGACTGGGGAAATCAGAACCTGCCTGTCACCTCAGGGCATCACTGAACAAATTTTCTGAGTTGGGACCTGTGCACGAACCCAGGCTGGGGAGGTGAATGAACCAGGTGGCCCCTTGTGCCCCAGGAAAATCAACCGTGTTCTCGCTGTACTGTGAGCTCCTCCAGGAGACAATTATTTAAGTTATAATGTATTGTTGGTTTTGTGACAACTGTCATAGCATGTTATTTATGTTACTGTTGGTGTTATTGCTATTGTTATTTATTATTATAACTTTAGTTTGCCTCAACCTGAGAATCTCAACAGGAGCTGGCAGCCTGTCTCCCTCTCCCCGCCAGGCTCTACCTCTGAATGTGCTGGGAATCTCTTAGCGCCTGTCGGGAACTCCTCACTGTTGAAATATTTATTTATTGTTGACAACTGGAGCTGGTTTCTGAGATACGAATGATGTACTCAATCCCTGTTTTTCCTGTTTCAGCATGTTATATTCTTGTAAAATAAAAATAAAACCCCAATATGAGATCCTGTCTTCAAGGGCTGTGTGATCAGGGGGAATGGGAAAGACGAGTCTTGTGGTGGAGAGTCCTGTGGCCTCTGGAAGTTCCCCAGGACAGATGGGTGAGCTTCCCTGTCACAGGCGGAGGCACAAGTGATGAAAGACCCATGCTTGGCTGGAAACTGGCGGAACAGAAGAGGGGGATAGGTTCTAATGGTGGCCACCATGATTGATGATGGACTTGTGTTGGGCTTTTGTGTCATGCTGATTGGTCTCGGCTCAGCCTGCTGTCATTTTAGAGCCCATATCCTTTGTCCACCGAATGGAGACAGAGCAGCCATTACCAATTCTGCCTGTAATAGCACAACAGGCCCTTCCCCTCGGTCACGTAGCCAGATGTTATCAAGTGGTGATGACTGTGGCATTTTTACTTTTGCCCATTTTCCATTTGCATGAGTATTTTACAATTTCATACAAAGTCAAATTAGTATTCTTGAATAATTTCAGAGAAGTCTCTGAGATGAGCTAGGGGAAGCCACTCTGTACGTGAGACAGCTTCATTCCACGGGCTGAGGGAATGAGATGGGCGAGCGGGGCTTGAACACTTTGGGGGAAGGTTTGCAAGGATCCAAATCTATTCTCCTTTCTCACCCTATTAATCTAATTATTTTTCTCATTACCACTCTTTAAAAAAATTCTTCCCTATGTTGAATTATCTGTTTATATACAGATCTGGACCTTATATTGATCTTTATTTCTCCCCTATTGTTAGTCTAAGTGACCAGATTTAGGGACATTGGGTAGAAAACCTAAGGAGTCACATGCTAAGCCAGATCTAAGGGGTGATTGATTCTGTGGGTGACACCTGAGGAATTCTGAGTTTAGGGCCTGGGAAGAAAGATGGGAACAAACATCGTGGGGTGCCCTGATTTCATTTAGTCCTTACGGCAGCTCTGTGAGATTAAGTATGATTATAACACATATGAGGAAACTAAAGCTCCCAAAGGGAGGAAATGTACCCAGAGCAGCTGGGTGAGACAACATGGGTGGAACATTGAGGGCTAAGTGAAATAGGTCAGAGAGAGAAAGACAAATATGGTATGATTTCACTTACACATGGACTCTAAAAAACAAACAAAAAATCCAACAAACTAAACAAAACAAAACCAGACTCAAAGACACAGAGGACAGACTGATGGTTACCAGGGGAGAGGGAGTTGGGGGTTGGGTGAAATGGGTGAAGGGGATCAAGAGGTACAAACTTCCAGTTATAAGTCACGGAGAAGTAATGTACAACAAAGGGAATATGCACAATAATACTGTACCAACTTTGTATGATGACAGATGGCAGGTAGACTTATTGTAGTCATTTTATAATGTAGAGAAATGTCAAATCACTATGCTGTACACCTGAAAGTAAAATAATGTTGTGCCACCCTTATAGGGAACGTTGGATGAAATAAAAGTGTTTGGCACAATGTTGATGTCCCAGGAATATTTGCTATTATTATCACTACCTAACTCCAAGTACACAGTGGGCATCAGTCAATAACTATTAACTTTTTAAAAAAAAGTGAAATAAGGAGGCCAAGTCTACTTGTCTTTTGAGTAGAAGACAGCTGTTTCAATACAGTAACTCATTTCCAGAATTTCAGATGAGGAAATTGAGAGTTGAGCCATTAATCGAGGCAGTGCTCGCTCAAAGCCAGGCCAGCCAGTGCTGTTTTCAAATCCCACTCTTGCTTCCATGTGACCTGGTAGCTCCCCGCCCCCCCCAGCCCATCCTTCGCCCTCTGCTGCCTCCCTGTGGGCATGTCAGGTTATGCTTGCTTTTTTCTTGGAATTGCTCGACTTTCATCATATTTTAAGTTTGACTCCTTCCTTTGCAATTACATCCAAGAGATATAATTTGTACCTTTGTTTATTAACCCATTTTAATAAAGATGTGAAATTTTAATAAAACAGAATTATTAGCATAACTGCTGCTAAGAGAGCCCAGTGGGTACAGGGATTAAAATAAATTTTCTTTAGTCAACAGGGTTGAAATGAACTTTAAAACGTGAAGTTCTTGGCATAGATGTGGAGAAAAGGGAGCCCTCATGCGCTGTTGGTGCAACTGCAGATTGGTGCAGCCACTATGAAAAACAGTATGGAGGTGCCTCAAAAAATTAAAGATAGAACTACCATATGATCCAGCAGTTTCATTTCTGGTAATGTAGCCAAAGGAAAAAAAATCACTGAAAAGATATCTGCACCCCATGTTCATAGAAGCCTTATGCACAATAGGCAAGACACTGAAACAACCTAAGTGTCCATCGATGGATGAATGAATAAAGAACTTGTGGTATGTATATACAATGGGCCTTTATTCAACCATAAAATGAAGAAATTCCTAACCACTTGTGACAACATGGATAGAACTTTAGGGCATTATGCTAAGTGAAGTAAGTCAGGCAGAGGAAGATAAATACTGTATGATTGCGCATATATGTGGAATCTAATTTTTAAAAAACCACCAAACTCATAAAAAGAGATCAGATTTGTGGTTACCAGAGGCAGGGGGTGGGGGCGGGGCAATTGGAAGAGAAGGTGGTCAAAAGGCACAAAGTTCTAGTTATGAGAGAAATAATTACTAGGGATGTCATGTACGACTTGGTGACTATAGCTAACACTGCTGTATGATATATAGGGAAGTTGGTAAGAGAACAGATCCTAAGGGTTCTCATCACAAGGAGAACATTTTCCTTTTCTTTTTATTGCATCTATATAAAATGATGGATGTTAGCTAAACCTATTGTGATAATTATTTCACAATATATGTAAATCAAGCCATTATACTGTACACCTTAAACATACTCAGTGATCTATTTCAATGATTTTGCAATAAAAATGGAAAAAATTTGAAGCTCTTAGGTAAAGAGGAAAAAGTGTTTGGGGCATATTAAGTGCTGATCTCAACATAATTCACTGTCACTGAACCTTTGAAATTGGTCCAGCTATTCAAATTGTTTTTTGAAGAAAAAAAAATTGAAATTTAAACAACTGAAAAATGACCTTAAGAGTGAGGCATGGAGTGCAGTTAGGCCTAGGCAATGGCGTTTGAGTGCCTTTGCTTAGGACATGTATCTCCTGACTTACAGTTCCCATCCTGATACGTTCAGCCTTCTTAGCCTGCTCCATTATTCTCTGTAGGACTTTCACCATAAAAAAATCTGTATACAGTTTCCTTATTTTGCTGATTGGCCGCCGTCTCCAACAAGAATGAGGTGAGCATCTTTCTCTGTGCTGTTCAGGGATGTAGCCCAGATCCCTAGAACAAGGCAAGTTACTTAATCATTTTGTGCCTCCTTTACCTCATTGCACAATAGGGTCAAAAATAGTACGTACCTCATAAGGATTTGATTATATATTTTAATATGGATAAAAAGCTCAGATTAGTTCCTGGAGCATACTAAAGAACTACATAAATGTTTGTCATCATTACCACCATCATCACCATCACCATCATCATCATCACCATCATCAAGTCATCACCATCATCACCATCACCATCATCATCATCATTTTTGTTACTATTCAGACAGCAAAAGCAGTGTATGCGGAGAACTGGGTGTAGGAAGAGGTGTGATGTGATGGAAAACTGGGTGATAATAGTGATGATGCCCATGAGGAACAGGGACAGTCAGGGACCATAGCATAACTTGAAATCGTGTAATACGTTGCATTTCTCAATTGTTTATGATCTAGTTCTGTCTACTAAGATGCAAGTTCCATGAAGAATAGTCACCAGTGACACAGTCAGTGCACAATAAATATCGATTGAATGGCTGATGGGTTAAGTATTTTGAACTTGATCTTGAAAACTATGGTGAGTCAGTGAAGCAGGTAGGACTCTAGGTAAGAGGCTAAAAAGTGAGTCATCAGTTTCTTGCAATAAGCAATGGCAAGGGCTGAGGTTAGTCATTGCTTTGCACATAAAAGTACAGGACTTGGTATTGGGATGAAGATGAAGAGTAGCAGCCAGGTGGGGCTGCTATTTACAGAGATGGAGCAAGAACAGAGCAGAGTGAGGGAGAAGTGACAGTCTCTGTTTGGTACATATTCAAGATTTGTGGGTCTGTAGCTCAGCAGAGAGGCTAGGGCTGGAGAAGGAGGCTTGGGTGTCATTGGGGTGGAAGGGGCAGTAAAGACCCAGAGTCTGGACAGCATGACACTGGGGAACATCATCTAACCGCATTCTGCTCACTATTCATGACCCTCTCTGGAGTTTGTCTCCCCAGCAAGAATGGATATTCTTTGAGGACAGTAATACTTCCCACTATAGCATTCAGTACACTGTATGCAGCTCAGTGCTAGGAAAATGGTAAAGAACAGAACTTCTAGAGCAGAAAAGAACCTTAAAAATCATTTTACATGACAGAACTGAGGCCCGGCATCGTCAAACTACCCACCTGGCTGCTCAGTTAAATAGCCACAGCCCTATAAACAAAACATTATAAATAGTCACAGCTCTGGCTGTAGAGCCAGGTCTCCAGAATGCCAGCGCAGTCCCCTTTTGAGGACAGTGAATTGGGTGTGCCGGGACAGGCGAGGGAGCTTGGACTTTGGGCTTCCTTAGCTTTTCTGAACCTCAGTTTCATCAGCGGCAGGACTGTTAAAGAGTAACTGAGACTGTGCTCAATACATATTTATTTTCCATTCATTTCCCTCAAGAAGATAGGGGATTTGAAATAATGTGATAAGGATCAAGCTGGCTGCTGTGACCCGAAAGGCCGAGAGGTGAGCAGCATGACCCTGGACCTCAAACTGGACACCAGCAGTGAGAGAAGAGCCCCCACTTTTCTCTAGAGGGTGTAAAAGCCCGATCTGCACAGGCTACGCCTCCGAGAGTGGGCGTGTGTGGGTGTAGGCTCCCTTAGCTCCCTGGTCACTCCTTTTTTGGCTCCGCCCCCCCAGCTCGGTGACTGTGGCCCAAAGGAAATTTTTTCTGCTGGCAATAGGAGCGGACAGAAAGTACCAGAGGCTCCAGGCGTCTGAGTTTAGAAGGTAAAACGGGCAGGAGGAGGGGAGCTGGAAACGCCTGAGACGTTCTTTTCTTTGCAGGATTCCTTGGGCTTTGGGGACTGGAGGTGAAAGGGGGTGTGGGACTTTGGGAGAGGAAGGAGAGGCAGAGCCACCCCAGGGCCCCTCCGGCCTGAGAAGGACAAGGCTCTGCCGCAATCCACACACTGTTTGCTCGCCTGCTCCGCTGATCAGAAACCTCTGGTCAAATGCGAACCTGAAACTGAAACTGAAAGCAGGATGATCCCTTCTGGCGCTTTTGCTGGGCAGGCTAAGCCCGCTCTGATATTTCGCTCAGGGTTCCTTTCCTTCTCTGCTCCTTTACTGGGACGGGCCCCTCTCAGTTGTAACGGAAACATTCGGACAATAGGCTTCGTGGCTGGGCGACTGTGCTCACGGAGCACCGTCGGTTTAGACCTCAGCGGGGGCTTTGAGACTGAGCGGTGAGATTGCTGAGAAATGGTTGCCGTGTGAATTTTGTAGCGGGTGCAGTAAATCTTCAGGTAGCACTTTGGAGCAGTCTGATGCTTAGATCGGATCTAAATTGCTCAGTTGGACTAAACTGACACTCCCAGGTTCTCTGTTTGTGTAGTAAGTGTGTCTGTGCACACGGTGGTGAGGAGAATAGGGTTCACTGACACTTTTTAAAATAAAGAGACGCAACCGGCTCTACCGTTTATTGAATGCCTAATATTTGCCACACCCCCTATGTTAATGCACTTTATACAGCTGACCATGCTAATTGTTGTCCCCATTTGAGGGAACAGAAAACTGAGACTTAATAAGCTATGGTTACACAATTAGGACATAATATTCTAAAGTTACACAACCAGGGGCTCCAACTTAGATCTTGCTGAGGTTGAGTCTCTGCTCTTTACTACTCTAAACTCCTTTGAACGGGCGCGCACAGTGCGCAGAGAAGGCGTGAGACCCAGGGAACACAGAGGGGGATCAACCTTCCTGTGGTGTAAGAAACGCAAATTGACAAGATACGTGTTTTTTACAAAATAAGGGTTCTGGGTCCTTGTTGTTTTAAATTTTGGGGGTGGCTATCTACTTTAGGTCAGTGTGTTTAAATAACATTGAAAGAAATTTATTAATTAGGTTGAGAATCCTTAAAAAAATCATACCCTTTGATTAGTCATTCAATTCCCTGAAATTTATCATAAGAAATATAAGATCTAGCATAAGAAAACAAGCTGAAGTAAGATAAATTTGCTGCAACACTATTTAGAATTGCTCAAAAATTCTCATTTAAAAAATGTTAAAATATTATTTTTAAAAACAGATCATAATAAGGAAATGAAACAACTGAATGATGGCATATTACACAGCCATTAAAAATGTTTTAAAAGACTTTGTAATAACATAAGGAATGATTTATAGTATGGCATTAAATAAAAGGAAAGATACGTTACTTCACATAGCACGATCCTAACTATCTTTTAAAAATCTGTAGAAAATCTATAGAAATATACTAAAATATTAACATTGTCTGTTTCTGGGCAGTGGAATTATAGAGTAATAATTTTCATATTTTTAATTTATATGTATTCATAATATTATGTAATACAAAGTTCTAGAATAAATAATTAGATGCGCTGTGAAAAAGTTGCTAGTAAAATTAATTTCTTTAATTCAAATGTTTTCTGACTATTATAAAATTACAAAGTACCTCTTTTGTCTCCAGGTGTAATGTCAGAAGACTCCAAGGGTATTGTCCTTCCTCATATGCTGATCTGTAGCCAGATCATCCTTCTTTACCGTGACAGCAGTTTCTAGAGCTCCATGTTTCTTTGATCAAGTCCCAAGGAGATAAATTTTTATTTTCTCAAAGAAAGCCAAAAAGCTATCATTGGCATTTACCACCATGGAGACCAAGAGCCATAACAACCCCCAAGACAGACCCACATCCTCAAGCGATGGGAGAACTTGGGATGACAATCGCTTGTTGATGGAAGCTGTTAGAAAAGAAGACATGGAGCAGGTCCGGCAGCTGCTGGAAAGAGGGGCTGATGTCAATTTCCAGGAAGAGAAAGGGGGCTGGTCTCCCCTGCATAATGCGGTACAAATCGACAGTGAGGACATGGTGCATCTCCTGCTTCGTTACGGTGCTGACCCTTGTCTGAGGAAGAGGAACGGCGCCACTCCCTTCATCATGGCTGGGATTGTGGGGAATGAGAGGCTGCTCGAACTTTTCCTTTCCAAAGGCGCAGATGTCAATGAGTACGACCTTCATGGCTTCACAGCTTTCATGGAAGCCGCTGTGTATGGTCACATCCAAGCCTTAAGATACCTGTTTGAGAAAGGGGCAGAGGTAAATTTGGGTCGAAAGACCATGAAGGATCAACAGAGGCTTAAGAAAGGAGGGGCCACAGCTCTCATGGATGCTGCTAAAAATGGAAAGGTAGATGTGGTGAAGGTCCTCCTTGATGAGATGGGGGCAGATGTCAAAGCCCGTGACAACATGGGCAGAAATGCTTTGATCCACGCTCTGGCGAATGCTGATGATAGTAACGCCATGGCCATTACTCGCCTTCTGTTGCACCATGGGGCCGATGTCAACGTGAGGGGGGAAAAAGGGAAGACGCCCCTGATTCTGGCAGTGGAAAAGAAGCGCTTGGGTTTGGTGCAGATGCTTCTGGAACAAAAACATATAGAGATCAATGACACAGACAGGGAGGGCAAAACAGCACTGCTGTATGCCGTCGAACTCAACCTGACTGAAATTGCAGAGTTGCTGTGTGACCAAGGAGCCAGCACGGATTGTGGCGACCTCGTTATGTTCGCGAGGAGGAATTACAACAAGACCCTTGTAAAGCTGCTTCTCCGGCATGGAGCCAGAGAAGATTATCACCCTCCTGCTAAAGACTGGGAGCCTCGGAGCTCGCGCTGGGGACAGGCCCTGAAACAGCTCCACGGGATGTACCGCCCGATGGTCGGCAGGCTCAAGGTCTTTAGGGATGACGAATATAAAATTGCGGACACTTCGGAAGGGGGCATCTACCTGGGGTTCTATGATGAGCAGGAGGTTGCTGTGAAGCGCTTCTCTGAAGACAGCAGTCGTGGGGAAAAGGAGGTCTCCTGTCTACAGAGCATCCGAGGGAACAGTAACTTGGTGACATTCTATGGGAGCGAGAGCCACAGGGGCTGTCTGTATGTGTGCATCTCCCTCTGTGAGCAGACACTGGAGAAACACTTGGCCGAACACAGAGAGGAGGCTGTGGACAACGGGGAAGAGGAATTTGCCCGAAACATCCTCTTGTCTATATTTAAGGCAGTTGTTGAGCTTCACGGGTCATGTGGATACACTCACCAGGACCTGCAGCCACAAAACATCTTAATAGGTGAGTCCCCAATCATCTCTTAGAAATTGTAGGGTCTTTATTAATGAAAGGAAAGCATGTTCATTGCAGAGGGGGAAGGATTAGAATAAATGTGGATTATTCAGTTTGAGGGTTAATGCAACAAAGTCATAATTACAGTGCAATCTCTCCAGCCCCCAGTTATAACCCTTCCTCCTCATGGAGGTCATGGCTGCTCACAGAATACCAGCTAACCTCGTATTGCCTTTGGCAGATGCAAAGAGGAAGGTATGTCTTGGATGGAGCCAGCTCCAGAAATTTGGATTCCTAGTGTAGTCTTCAAGTCAGAGAATCCCAAAGGTGTGTTCCTTCAGAGAACGTGGCAGTTGCTGTGAAACTTAAGGTCAAAATTGGGGATGCCAAGACAAAATGCGATACAGTGAGAGAGACTCCAAGCAAGCAGAACAGTCAGTATCTACTGGCTCAAACCAAAACCAAAACGAATGAAAGCAACATTAGAGGAAACAAGCAGAGCCCTGGCCGGGTAGCTCAGTTTGTTGGAGCGTTGTCCTGTACACCAAAAGGTGGCCCGTTCAGTTCTCAGTCAGGACACATACCTGGGTTGAGGGTTTGATCCCCAGTTGGGGCACTACAGGAGGCAACAGATCAGTGTTCCTCTGACATGTTTCTCTCTCTTCCTCCCTTCCTCTCCGAGAACTTTAAAGATCTAGTCTCTTAGCAACATTCAAGTATACAATACAATATTGTTAATTATAGTCACCATGCTATGCATTAGATCTCCAGAACTTATTCATCTTGTAACTGGAAATTTGTACACTTTGACCACCTTCAGCCATTTCCTCCCCCGAACCCCCGAGAGACTGGCAACTACCAATCTACTCTGTTTCTGAGTTCAGTTTCTTTTAGGTTCCACATATGAGAGCATTTAGTATTTGTCTTCCTCTGTCTGACTTATTTCACTTAGCATAATGCCTTCTAGGTTCATCAATGTTGTCATAAATAGCAGAACTTCCTTTTTTATAGCTGAATAATATTCCATTTTCTTTATATATAAATAAAATCACATTTTCTTTATCCATTCACCTATTGACAGACACTTAGGTTGTTTCTATGTCTTAACTGTTGTAAACAGTGCTGCAGTGAACTCGAGGGTGCAGGTATTGCTTCGAGATAATGATTTCATTTCCTGCAATGTCATGGTGAGCTGTGGCTCGCGGGCTAGATCTGTTATGCTTTGTTATGGAGTGTTATGCTAAGGTGGCCTTGGGTTTGGAGCCTTGTTGGCTAGTTTTTCCTTAGCAATAGGATGTAATCCTGACTCCACCAATAGCTCCTTTACAAGTTTTTGCTCTTTGCCCCTAGGAATTGCATGAATGGGGTGCTGGTTAAATCCATTCTCATCCTTCCCCACTCCCTGGCTTGGAAAAAATAAAATATAAGACCTGCTATTGGTAGATACTTAATAGGTCAAATTACACAATGCACATGAGTGTTTTGAGGGGTAAACAGCAATGCCGCTATAAGCTTTATTATTGCCTTCGTTAGAGATGATGGATTGTCCACTGGGTTCCATATTTATTTAAATGAATTACAACCTGGAGAAGGAGGATTTTCAGTGCATCTCTCTCTACAAACTATTCCTTAGATTCCAAGAAGGCTGTTCGCGTGGCAGATTTTGATCAAAGCACCAAGTGGGCTGGAGATCCAGAGCAAATCAAGAGTGATCTAGAGGTAATTTATGCAGTTGGTTTACTTTTCCATCTCTCTGCTTCCCTATTCAGGCATTGCCTTATTTCCCATGGCCAATTAGGTGACATCCCTATTTTAACCAGGAAAGAAAGAACTTTCAAGGCATTCCCTCAGTGCTCACTGCGGTCACTCCCTTGCAGACAATGGCATTTCCCTAGGTTGGTGTGGATTGATGGTCACTATGGTTTCTTTCTGTCTCTTTGGATCTCTTTTTTCTCTCCACTAGTTATATAAGTAAGTAAATTGAGCATTATACACCTTTTCTCAAATTACCTCTAGGAGGTAACTCCCAAACTGTTCCAGAATTCCTGCAGGTGTTTTCTGCCTAAGGACAAAGTAAATAAGATTTCTTTTCCCACCCCATTCAAACTCCAAAGAGGGCCAGGTACTAAGGCCCTCTGAAACACCTGGGAGGGATCCCCAACTCAAAAAAGAGACACAGGTTGGCCCAAAAGGTAAAGACCCTGAAATAACTTTTTCTCCTAAGAGACAGAGCCTGGCCTCTGCAGACCAAACCATCCCATTGATTCCGATACGGTCAGGGCAAATCTCTCCTGGAGAGTTCTCCAGGTGCTGAACTTCCACCCCAATGAACAAGCTCTCTCCACCCCGGGGTCTGCCCTTCATGGTTCAGTGGCTCCAGAGTTCAGCTCCTGCCCTGGGGTCTTGCCTGATGCAGGCATTCCCATGCTGCCCCTCCTTCTTGGCCTTTCCTCCTCGCCGGGGCCTAAGCCCGGGGCCTCTCACTGTATCCTGCTGGACCTGGACTGGCTGTTTACCTGCTGCAGACATATTCCCAACCCAAAGTCCCAGTTCCCAGTTCCTGGCATCCCCCTTGTTTAAACCCCCTCTCTTTCCCCCGTTTATCCAACACAAATCCCTCTTTCTCTAGGCAGTCTGCCCTGACAACTCTGGCCCAGGATTATCTCTTGTTTCTTATAAACCTGAATACAAGGACTACATACTGCCTGGAGTTCTCTATGCAACAAACCTGTGTCTTCTCTCTCTAACCAGCCTGTGGACTCCTTGAGATTCCTCCCATTTTCCATCTGCCCCTAGCTTGCACCACACACTCCAAGGTTACCCAAATAGAGTGATCATTCATAAGCACCTTTGACTTGATTGGTGGCTTTTGTGCAGGCCCTTGGACGGCTGGTCTTATATGTGGTAAGCAAGGGAAATATCCCTTTTGAGACACTGAAGACTCAAAGTAATGAAGAGGTGATTAAATTTTCTCCAAATGAAGAAATTCAGAACCTCATTCAGCACCTGTTCTGCCCTGGGGAAAATGTGAAGAATATTCTGGTTGACCTGCTGGATCATCCTTTCTTCTGGAGTTGTGAGAGGTAAGTAAAACTTAAGTGTATGTCACAGGCCCCAGACTGGAGACAGTGAGTGTATTAGTCAGGGTTCTCTAGAGAAACAGAACCAATAGGAAATATATATAACACTGGAGAGGGCAATCTGCTTTACTAAGTCCACTGATTTAAATGCCAATCTAATCTGGAAACACCTTCACAGACACAGTCAGAATAACGTTTAATCTGGGCACCCTGTGATCAGTCAAGTTAACATGTAAAATTAACCATCACAGTGAGGTGGTGTGGGCAGGAGTCAGGCTGAGAATCAGCAGACCCAGCTTTCCTCTCAGCTGGGCATTTCCTGTGTCTGTGTGTCCTTGGAGTGATGACTTAACCTCTCTGGGTTCTGGTTCCATCTTCTGAAGAACAGGGAGAAAGGAACAGAGAGAGGGAGGCAGGGAGGGGGGAGGGGGTCTGTCTCTCCCATCATGCAGAATTTTGAAAGACATAGTTATACTAATTTTATTAAAACCCAAAATCTAACAGTTTTGCCTTTCTGGGAAGAGTGGGAAGGATGGAATGACCATGAGAATTCTGTCATCTTCAGCCGCTATAGGGTCCTTAGAGATGTGGGAAATGAGTCTGACATCAAAATGCGAAAACCAAGTATCTTCCAACACCTGCAGCCTGGGCCATCGAAAACTTCCAGAAGCTTTGATCAGTGGACCTCTAAGGTATGAACAATTCCTACAGTCTGGGAGTTATTCCAGAACAAAAAGTTGTGTAATATTTTATGATAGTTTTCCTAACTTTTAAAAATACTATTGGCCTGGCCCAACCAAGGAGTGAAAAAGGGGATTTCCCTTCTCTTCCTCCCCATCCTAGTCCCCTTGTCCCGGTTGGGTCTCTGCTGTCCCTTCTAGAGGCCAGGCTCTCCTGAGAGACTCCCATCTAGTTTCCTCTTTAGGATGGTCTTTCCCAGCCCATGAGCTTTTTCCTTTTCTGTGGCTCTTTCCCTCAAGACTTGTTTTCTGAGCAGGGCCTGGCTAATGGTAACAAGAACAGCTGACTAGATAGGACTAGATAGGACTTAATCCAGAGGAGGTGCTCCACCATGAGGCCTTTCAGTCCAGGGCCTCCACTGCCTGGGAACAGCCCAGCTCTGAGAATCCACATACCACACCCCCATTCTGCCTGAGAAAACAGGCTACGAAAATGAGACCATCTTTCAGATTTCTCCTTTTCAAGAAAAGGTTCACCTGACTTGAACTAAATAGTGGAATATCAAAATTGATCACCACCTTGATCTAGTCAGCACTATCAGAATTTTCATTATTATTAGTTAGCAGACATCTAACAAGTAGCAAGTATGCGCTAGGACCATGTGAGGTCATGGGTATACGGCATGGTCCATGTGGGGCCAGAGGACCCACAGAAATGATGGCTGTGTGATACATGCTGGGCGCCCAGAGACAGATGCAAGGCACTATGGGAGAATCCATAATCCTGAGGCCTTTGACTGAGACCAACAGCTTCCCTATCTTAGGCTGACCTGGGATTCTGCTTCTCCCATCCCTCTTTGTTTCTGGGTCTCATTTTGCTATATTTCTTTTACTTGACTCTAGACTGCATGTCACATCCATAGTGGTTGGCTTAATGTTCATCTTTCCTGCTATCCTATAATCCATGAGGGCAGAGGCCATCCGTTATCCTGTTATTCTATTCCTGGCATGGAGTAGGTGTGCTGTGACTCTGCCAAATGAATGTCTGTTATTTTGTTTTCCAATTCATTGGTTGTTTCCCCTAAACTGCATTGACTTATGTTGAATTTTGATTAACTTCAGGCCTTACCTTTTAATTCCTATTTTAGACTTTTTTTCTGTTGATTTTAGTGACTTGCCCATTTTCATGGTCATACAATCTGTTTTTTGGCAGCTCAAGTCAGAACCAAGTTTTCCAGTGTATATCCCTGTCTTCTTTCCCCACCCCGCCACATGCTCGTTGCTCAGCATTTCCTACGTGTGACCCACGCATAGTACACGTGGGCAGTCTCAGCAGGTCTTCTCTAGCCATGGTCCAGGCACCAGTCACTCTTCCTAAGGGACCTAAGGGTTTGTGTACTCCAAATTCTAAATGCGAAGCCATCGCAAGAGGGAGGCATGACTGTGACCGAAGTTGCCCTGGGACACCTAGGGGCAAGGAGAAACATGTAACCCCTTGGGAAATATAATTAAAAAGAAAACAAGGACCAACCACTATCACTTTGGCAATGGCTGCCAGTCCCGGTTTCTACTGGGAGGAAATGTCATCAAGTACAAATTTGGAACGGTGGCCACACAGGTAAAAGTACAGTACAGTTTAATGAGCACATCTCCTAGCATCATGGCCAAAGATTTTCTAGACCATGTTTTAATATATTTAATTAAAACAATTCACTTGGAAAACAGACAAGTTACTGATAGTCCCACATCCAAGCACAACTGTGGTTAGCGTTGTATTTTTAATTAGTAGTAATTCTGACACATACTCAAATTTGTATTTTGCCTTTTTGTAGTCTATCAGGATTTATTTTGCATTGCTACCACATTTTTGTGTAATGTTTTGTTGTTCAGATTGACATATGTGTTATGAACCAAATGAGTAATTTTTATAACAAGAAGCCCCATTTAAAATATGAGGACACCGTGGGTGATCTGCTAAGGTTCATCCGGAATTTGGGAGAACATATTAACGAAGAAAAGAATAAATGGTAAGTATTGTTCTCATTCCTGTAAATCATATTTGAAATGGGGAAGATTTAAGAATCCAGTTTTAAATTTATATCTGCTATTTGATGGGAGAGCAAAATTAACTTTGATGAAAGAAAAGTAACTCCTCCCGTCTGTTGGGAGAAGGGCCACTATACGGCTCTTACAATAAACGATGCGCGTGACCAGCAGGCTCTCGTCTCCCTTTTTAACTTTCGCTGCGTCCCATTGAACAGGCGGCCTGTGACTCCCTTGTGTGAAGAACCACAGGGGACTGGGAAGCTGGGTAAAGTGAATGTAATATTATAAAAGTTCAGAAAGTAACTCCATGTTAATTAAATCGGCTTGTGTTGCCAAAAATGTAAGCTGCAAACTCATTTAAAAAAACCCAACTTTCAGTTTCTAGGGCTCTTTTGGATTTTGGAAATGTAGATAAGGGATTGTGGAATTGTATTGTGTCCATTTCATGGATGATAAGCCTGAGGTTCGCAAACCTCACGTTGCCATAGTTTGCACAATTAGTTGAAGAGTCAGGAGATGACTCTAGCTCTGTCAGATTCCCAAGTCTGCTATAGAAATCAAGGGAGCACAGCGATCTCCAGGCCATATGCTATAAATGGGGAAGAATTTGGGCTATGCATGTCAAAATATTTACATTTCATTTCAGGATGAAGTTGAAAATTCAAGACCCTTCCCGATATTTACAGGAGAAATTCCCCGATCTGGTCATCTACATCTATACGAAACTACAGAACACAGAATATGCAAAGCATTTCCCCAAAACTCACAGTGCACAGAAGCCTCAGTGTGATCGGGGTGATGGTGGCCAGCACCCTAGCAGGCTCTGAGCACTGACCACGCCTGCTGAGTCCGGTGAGGTCTTTATTAGGTGTGTGATCCTGGGCAAGTCACAATCCTCTGGGCCTCTTAACTAACCTGGTTGCTAGTGAGGGATGAATTGGACGGATAATGTCAGTTCCTGGCCATGTGCCAGGCACTCCCTACATGTTTATTAAAAACAAACAAAAAGTATATGCTCAAATTACCCTGGTGCTTTTTTTGGGTAAAGGTTAGAAGCAGGAGCCAAAAGGGCACACCGCTGAGATTCCTCTTTTCTGTTGCACTGAAGGAGTGAGTGCCTAGACCTCTAACACCGTATGCTTTACATCAGTTATCTCATGTCATTATCCCAATGATCTTGCAACATGGGTCAATATCCCCATTTAAGAATTGATGAACTTGAGACTCAGAGAGTTTGAACTACTTGTCCCAGATCATACAACTTGTACAAAGCACCGAATAAATGGATGTGTTGCTGTTACCTCTCACTTAGGCATCTTAGAACTTAATTACTGGCCCAGGGATCATCAAAGGAATATACCAACGGGCTCCAGGGGGCTGTTCACTCATTCATTCATCATCTGTTGAGCGCAGTGTAAGTCAAGGCACTGATTTTTGTATGAATTTCTTCCCTTCTAGAACCACCTGCACTGGTTTTCTATGACCTTAAGCAGTAGCACTACACTGGGGGCAATTTTGCCTCTCAAGGGCCATTTGCTAGTGTCTGGAAAAATGGGGAATGGGGAGTGCTATTGGCACCTATTAGATAGAGGTCAGGGATATTGCCAAACATTCTACAATGCACAGGACAAAGAATTATCCAGTCTCAAATGTCAGTGGTACTGAGGTTGAGGAACTCTGCTTTAGAGGGCTGGGATACTTTCAAACTGGCTGGGGGCCCAGGACCATGGAGTATGTGGGCCATCTCACACAGGAGTGAATGACTTGGATTTGTTTTTTGCTTTTGGATCTGTACTGAGCCGATTCCAGTGTCACCACCTCAGAAGTCCTCTGAACACCGTCACTTTCCACACTCCAGTCTGAGTGCTCTTTCTGACTCCTTAGCACCCAGAGCCACATGGGAGCATGCTTCTCCCCACCCTAAGCATGTTTCTTCCCATTGGAATCTAAGCTCCTTAGGACCAAACCTACTCACAGTAGGTTTACAGTTGTGAGTATGCAAAACAGAGTTTATTCTTATATTATTGTTTATTAATGATTGTATTGTTTGCCATATGAACAACTGTAAACCTACTTTTGCTCCACCCGGTACATATATATACATATTTTAATTTGTATCATTACTGTCAAGCAAAGTGTCTGCCACAAGTTACTGTTCAATAAATATTCATGAAAAAAATGAACGAACCATCTTCATATATGAGTCACAATACTACCTTATATTTTTATGGTGCTTTATAATTTATAAATTAAACCTGCATATTTTATCTTAGTATTCAAAGCAATCCTGGAAGGCCAGTGTTGTTATCTTCATTTTTCAGATGAGGAAAGGAAGGTCAGAGACAAGGTGACTCACTCTAATACACAGCTGGGAAGTGCCACTGTCTGGATTTGAACAGATTTTCTGGCAGTAAGTCTGACCTTCTTTCCACTTATCCTCATTGTGGAGGTAAAAATGGAGCTTTGTAATGGAAGGAGCTGGGAAAAACAGTATCTTAGGTACTTCCTGAAGAGCAAGTGGTCTCAAATGGGAGCCACCGAATGAAATTAAGAAATGCTGGAACAAACAAACTTGGGGCTTTTATTTAAGGTTTTAGGAGTCCCAAGATTGTGGTAGGTTTTAAAATTAAGCTTCGTTTTTCTGATTTGTAATGATTAAGAATTGTCAATCATTTCTGTCATTATGTCAAGCTGGCTCCCTCCTTTAATTCTTATCTAGATCTTTTTTATTACCTTTAAAGAACTAACCCCATTTAGAATTACAAAGGTATTTAGTAGATGGCTTGAATTAATATGCGAGAGAGAGCAATTCTGCACAGGCGTGTGGCCTCGCCATTCCGCCCACTTAAAGACGACAGTGGCACTCCAGGGCTCTAAAGTCACCTGCACAGGGGATATTTTTTTCTCAGTACTGCTCTGCTGCCCACTTCTGCTCTGGGCTGGAAGTCACCTGATCCACACCCCGCCTCATCCCTTCGTAGCTGATTTGCATTCAGGAGGCCCTGGTGGGCAGGCCAGTGGCCTTGAAAGCAGCTTCCTTTCCCATCCCTGGAATTACAGCCCAGGCCTTGTTGGCTGACTGGCTGGCATTTCCCTGATGCCCTTTAGAGCAACATGGAAGGTTGGTGAGTGGGAAATTTGTGAAGACTCCCTACCCCCCCCAAAAAAAATTGGCATTATATACTGGTGTGTCTTTTATGCTGGTAGAAAAGAGCCCCCAGGGCGCAGTTTATTTGCCACTGTCCTAAAACTGTGTCCCCTATTTGCTTCTCCACTCTGGTGACATTGGCATTATATACTATACTATACTATTATATTATATTATGGGAGAAACTAAATCATGGTCCCCCATGGTGAAGTTCTACTAGCCCCAAGGTAAGACTAACACCCATCCTGCCCCTCCCCCCAAGTCAGGCGTGTAATGCCCATTCACAGATGCAGCACAGATTTCAGACGTGTTCAGTGACTGGCCTGTGCTACCAGCCAATGACGAAACCAGGGTCCTTCCACACTTCAGCTAAGATTCTTGTATATTATTGGGCGAAAAGTCAATCAAAAGCAAAACAAAGCTTGTAGGGTGTTCGTTTTTTTAAAATAAAAGAGGTGGGTCAAAAATAACCAGAATCAACATAAACTTGAACTTTAAGACATAAACCAATTGTTGAATAAGAGTAATAAAATTTATTATAAGAAGATTGATAGTAATGTCTTGTTAAAAGATATAATTTATATTGTTTGATAAGTAATACTACGGGAGCATCAGAAATAAAAAACAGCTATACTCCCATTAATTTCCATATTCCATCTCAGACCTTGTTTACATGCACAGGAGAGTTTTGCATAATTGACACTCTAATGTGTTATTTCATTCTGATGCTGCTTTTTTACTTATTATATTAAAAACATATTGTAATTATTTTAAATGACTGTATAATGCTCTATCAAGTTAAGATATCAAAGATTGTTTACATGTTTCTTTTTTGGTTATTTTTAGTTTGCTTCCTCTTAGTAATATGAATAACTATCCAAAGAGCTACTTTAAGCGTATACTTCATTCTTTTATAAAAAGAAAATTATGGTTGGTAGTTGAAATATGTGAGATTTGTATTTGTGTGTATATTTCATTTTAATTCATTGCTGGAAAGTTAATTTTAGAGAAAAAGAAAATAAATGTCGTCCATCATGTAATCCTAACACTTAGAATAACTGCTGTTAAACTTCTGGTTTTTAAAGATGCATATTCATGACATAGTTACCTTAATAATCTTGGGATTTACATATATATATATATATACACATATATATATATATATGTATATGTATATATATATATGTATATAAAATTAGTAATAGTAAATAGAAAACTAGAAAAAGAACAAATTAAATCCAAAGCAAGNACATATATATATATATATATATGTATATGTATTTATATATATGTATATAAAATTAGTAATAGTAAATAGAAAACTAGAAAAAGAACAAATTAAATCCAAAGCAAGCAGAACAATATAAATAATAAGAATCAGAGCAGAAATCAATGAAATTGAAAACAGAAAGTAAACAGAGAAAATCAATGAAACCAAAAACTGGTTCTTTGAAAAGATCCACGATATCAATAAGCCTCTAGTCAGGCTACTAAGAAAAATAGAGAGAGAACACAAGTTATTAATACCAAAAATGAAAGAGGGGACATTAGTACAGATCCTATGGACATTAAAAAGATAATAAAGGAATACTATGCATAGCTCTATGCCACAGATTTGATAACCTAGATGAAATGGACCAATTCCTTGAAAGACACAATTTTCCAGTATTCACACAAGAGAAAATAGGCAATCTAAATAGGCCTATATCTGATAAAGAAATTCAATCAACAGTTCATAACTTTACAAAACAAATCACCAGGCCCAGATGGGTTCCCTGATGAATTCTACCAAACATTTAAGGAATGTGGTTTTCTTTTCTTACAATGTCTTTGTCTGGGTTTGGTGTTTGGGTAATTCTAGCCTCATAGAAGGAGTTAAAAGCATTCCTTCTGCTTTCATCCTCTGAAAGAGATTGTAGAGAACTGTTATGTTGGGTAGAATTCAGCAGGGAACCCATCTGGGCCTGATGAATTCTGTTTTGGAAGGTTATTAATGATTGGGGAAACCAGAAAGAGAAGAAAGGAATGAAAAGAAATCTTTGAAGCAATGATGACTGAGAATTTCCCCCAAATTAATGCTAGAAACCAAACCACAGATCCAGGAAGCTTAGAGAACACCAAGAAGAATAACTGCCACATCATACTCAAACTGCGCAACGTCAAAGATAAAGAACAGATCTTGAAAAAAGCCAGAGGAACAAAATGCCTCATCTATAGAGAAGCACAAATTGGAATTAGATTTGACTTCTCAGAAACCATGCAAGCAAGAGGAGGAGACCTGACCTCTCTACACCTCCATTAGCTCACCTGAAAACAAGCCTTACAATTCCTCTCTCTTCTGTCACATACTAAGTGCTCAATAGGGGTCACGAATATTTTAAAGCATCTGTTAGGGATCAGGGAGTCCACAGTCAGAAATCTTTTTACCTCCCATTAATCACAAATACATAACTCTTCCAAATGATAACATATACATTTGGATATCAGGAATTAAATACATTTGTGGCTATCCTGGCCACTCAACCCCCCATGAATCATGTATCTTATTGGAGGAAATGCATTCAGAATTTCCCCAGGAATTAACTATTCAACTATACCCCTACTGGTTTAGCACTTTCTTCATGCTCTGGGAAGTTTAGGGAAAAGGTGGAAAGAAGGGCAGCAACTAATGTCCCTGCCCCCAACTCTGTGCCTGGTCTTGTACTGCGCACTTGGCCTATGTTATCTCTCTGGTCTCCAAACAACCCTATGAGGTAGATATTTTCATCTCCATTTCACACACAAGGGTGTTTGGACTCAGGGAGGTTAAGTAATTTGCTGATGATCACAAAGTTACTAAGGAGTGAAGATGAAATTTAACACCAACCTGCCGCATGGAAACTTGGCTCTGAAGGAAAGGCAGCAGGGCCTCCTGGCCTGGACTCTCTTGGTCAGGGGAGGGTCCATGTGTCAAAGTCTCTGAATGAGACCAACTGGCCCTTGGTTTTCACCCAGGAGGGGAAGTAAGTATTTCCGCTAATCTCTTAAATTGAAAATGACCTTTGGATCCCTCTTGGGAGCAGCATATTGTTTCCTGTGCCCTTATGTTAAAGAAGAGGACAGGAAGCCCACAGATTGTGAATGTGGACATCCTTTATTCTGGTTAATGATCTGCAGCCTTGGTTGAGGTGTAGGGGTGGGGATGGGCATCCCAAGGTGCTGCACATGAGCCACCCCCTTCTCTGTGGTGACACTTGTATCAGTTGGAGGCACTCAAAATGAGGCACAGACCTCTTTTCATACTTCTGTAGAAAGAGGGGTGATTTCATGTCATTCCCTGACACATGTATCTGAAAAGGCTCCTGAAGATGGAAGGCAGGTCTCACCCAGTCTCTCTTCGCTTGTTTTCCTCAGACTTTTTCTGTTACTCTTTAGTCTGAATGGGTTGTATGAGCTTCATAAAAAACCAGAAAGTTCTTTGAGTATCGAGAATGACTGAAACGAAAAAAATTTCATAAGGACAATCTGATATTTCTTCTTTCTTATGCTAGTCACAACGGTAATTGATTGCTGATTTGATTTTCTAGCAATTCACACTGTCTAATGACTGTGAAGTCAGGGTAACTGACTGTACAGTCAGTGCAGACATAAATCACAGGTTGTTTTCCCCACATCCCCAGCACCAAGCACAGTTCATTTACTCGTGCCTTCACTGTGTATTTATGGGGCGACTCTCATCTGCATGTCACTGTGGTCAGTGTTGAAGGTACAAAGCAAAATGGGATGTGGTCTCTGCCCCACAAAAGTACAGTCTAGTAGGTGACGCACATACACAAACAGGTGTCTCCAAAGAGGGAAAAAATATGTTGCAGAGACAGAGAGGAGACGATGAGAGGAGAGAGAAGAGAGCCAGGAGGTGTCATTGATGTGATATCTCTTATCACCAGCTGGAGAAGAAAGGGCAGGGCATTTTGACAACCGCGTTGCTGCAGGATGGAATGCGTGAGTGGGAGAGGTAAGAGATGAACCCGGAAACCTAGACTGGGTGAGCTCGTTTATGACATTCTGACTATCGTTTTACTCCTGATTTTCTTCAAAGGATAGAAAATGGGCTAGTCATTCTAAACTATGATAATATGCTAGGCCTTTAGGTCAAAATTTTTCCAGAGCCGCTTTATCTATTAATTGGCAAATGAACAGAACTCCAGGGGAAAATGATCCCTTTTGTGCATGAGAAGTTGCATAGATGGTGACCACTGAATGAGAAGCAGCAGTGGGGTGTTCTAGTCCGGACTCTGCATTTCTGCCTAGTGATCTTGGGAAAGTCACTTACCTCCTGTGTGTGTCAGTTTCTTCAGCTGCTTAAAAAGTAATGATTTCTGACATGGTTACTCACAGGGTTCTGAGATCCTAGCATTAAAAGGCTCCATCTGTCACTGCTAATAACAACAGCACCTTGCTTCCTACATACATTTGTCTCAGGATTCTTCAACAACCTGGAGTCAGGGATTTTCAAGGCCATGCGGCTGCAGAGTGAGACTAAAACCTAGGTCTCCTGGCCCCAAGAGTAGGGTGTTCTGTTACATGTCCACTGTGGAGAGGCCATCTCTGCCAGGACCGCCAGGATGGAGGTGGGGGTGCAGAGGTGATTCTGCTCACATTCTCTGCCCACATCTTACCTACTGCTGTCACCCCATTGATTTTTCGGGGGCAGATGGTGCCAGGGCATTTCATTTCTGACCAAAAAAGGCTCTGTCAGTGTCCAGAGGCTTCTGAAAAATGATGCACCTCTGTTGGAGACCTGACTCGATTATTTCTTCTCCTTTTTGACGATGGAGAATTTTTGTCTGAAGGAAGAGAGAATGGCTGGTCATCACGATGGCGATAAGGTTTTACTCTCTGCTAGTCTGTTGCTGTCATTCCCTTTAGGAATGGCAACAGGTCTAAAACCCCAAACCCTTTGCCTTCAGGATAGGGCCCCGCCCACTTTTTCTCACCTTCCTCCCCAAGGGCTTGTAGCCTCTGAAGATATACAACGCCCTTCCCAGCAAAGAGCTCCAAAGTACCCGGCTCGTGTTCCAGGCACCAGCACTGGCCAGTGATACCTGGGAAGCTCCAAGCCCCC